AACAACCCAAACCCCCCCCCCCCCCCCATTTTCCCGTCGACAGAAACAGAAGCAAGGAAGAAGAAGGAGAAAGAGGAGAAAGGGAGAGAGAAGAAGAGAGAGGAGGGAGCAAATCCCAACCGATTGGAGTGATTCAAAAGCCTAAACCACTCTAAATCTTCCCCTCTTTCATAATCTAAGCTTAATTTTGAGTGGGGAGCATTGTGGAGAGAGATATTACCTCTCAAAAATTCGGGCCTTTGTAAGATTTTGGGATTTTGGGAATTTCTACCTCCATGGGAGCTTGAGGAACGCTCCTTGCTTGGTTGTGCAACCGTTGGTGGTAAGATTCTACCCCTTGAACCTTATTTTCATGGAAAATTGCATGAGTTAGGGTTTATGAATAGTGTTTTAGGGTTTTTGATGAAATGTTGTTAAATTAGCTATGTTCTAGGAAGAATGGAGCTTAGAACATGTGAAAAATGCTAGGAACGACATTCAATCGGTGAAAATGAGCTTAGATAGCTAAATGAGTATAATTGGAAAATGGCAAGAATATGACACTTAGATATTGGATTTCTTGCATTGTTGGTAAATGGTTTGGTTTGGTTGGTTGTTGATTATGCCTTGGTGTTGTCTAGGATTGAGGCAATTGGACCAACCTTGAGAGACCAACCATTGGAGCAAGCTATGGAGCTTGATTAGCTCCATTGGATAGGTAAGTTCATGCTTATGTTTGGTATGAATTGTATAGCTTGGTTGATAGCTATGAGATGTTATTGGATGCAATATGTGTTAATTGCATTAAACGTTATCTAGGTTTTGTTTGAGAAGTGGAGTATTGTAATTGACTGACTGTAGAATCCGTGAGTGGTGAACAAAGGTCGAATTGAAGCTTGAGGTAAGCCTTCGGACCTTGGGTGTAATTCCCTTGATTGTTCCACCAAGCCCTGAAAGGGTAGTGGCTGTTGATAGTGTATATAAATGCAATGAAATAGTGTAATGCTTTGTTATACGTATGTGTATGCATTTGGTGTGGCAAAGGATGGTGTTTCCCTATGTTGGTATGTTGCATGACGATGCGTAAATCATACTTGGTAGTTAGCTGGCCAGTAGGACTATTTGCATCTGAGTTTCCTTAGGACAGCTTGAGAGCTCGAGGGATTTCTCCTGGAGATGTTATTGCACTTTGCATAGATATGTATTTACTGCATTATTATTGTTATTGCTATTACACTGATATGGAACTGTGGGGTGGAGAGATGCTCCAAGAACCCCTGGTTTACTGGATATATTCGTATATCTCACCCCGTGTTGTGGGGACCCCCTTTCAGGTAAGGATGCTGCAGGAGCCTCTGGTGGCAAGTGGCCATATCTGGATTAGCATATGCATGAAGTGTTGCATTTTTTGAGATTATACATGTTGTTTTGTAGCTCACATGTATAGAATTGTAATTAATAGGCAATGATGGATTTATGATTGGTATATTGGAATGGACTTAGCCTATGCTCATGCCTTTGGTCATCTCTTTTGTTGATGGGAGCCAAGGGAATGATCATAGTGTTTTGTAAGCTAAGTTCCACGATTTGTAATGAATATGTACTGTAAATGATGCCTACTTGAAATTCAATATATGCATGCTTTTTATGTATTGAGTTATTGAATTGGTTGGGCTGAGAATCAATTAGGTACCTTTTGTTTAAATTGGGAAACGTTGAGAAAACAAAAGTTATGCTGCCCAAATTCTAGCTAAATCTCATGAGGAGAGGTTGGAAGAGTGCTAGGATTAAGTTTTGAGGCATGAACAATAGGGTTTTGGAATGGGGATGCATCATCCCCTAGACTTGGACTTGAAAAATGAGAGATTGTGAAATTTCCTGGAAGCGCGCTTTAGCGCTCTGCTGCCCCTGTGAGAGCTAATGCTCTCTGTCTCCCCGCGCTGGAGCGCCCAAAGTGGGGGCTTAAGCGCCCAGGATTGCGCGCTTGAGCGTCCTCGTTTACGCTTAAGCGCCCTTCGCTGCAGAAAGATGGGATGCTTACTGTCTCTGCGGGCTTTAGCGCCCAGAGTGGGGCTTAAGCGCCCAGGGTTGCGCGCTTGAGCGCCCTGGATCGCGCTTGAGCACCCTTAGCCACTGAATGAGGAGATGCTTCTGTCTCTGCGCGCTAAAACATCCCAGTGGGAGCTTAAGCGCCCAGGATATCGCGCTTGAGCGTCCTAGTGCGCGCTTAAGCGCCCATTTACACAGAAAGACCTGATGTTCTCTGCCTCCGTGCGCTTAAGCGCCCAGATGGAGGCTTTAGCGCCCGATAACGCGCGCTTGAGCGCCGGGTAGCGCGCTGAAGCGCGCGGGGCCTGTGTCCAACATACACTTATGTTGCTTTAATTTGTCATAACGCGAGCTACAGTGCTCCAAATGAGACGCGGTTTGAAGCCACGCGTAGCTAATGATTAGAAGAATACAATTAATAACCTTTGGTCTAAGGATATATGAGTATGATGTTAAGCTTAATACATTTTATTCTGTAATGTAATACGGTTATGATCACGCACTTGGTTATCTTAAGTTCGACATGTTTTAAAAAGAAAAATTTAACCGGATTTTAATTGAACCATGTGATTGTAACTGCGCTTAATATCATAATGCGATGTTAACAAACTGGTTCTAGAACGGGATGTTACAATTATCAACTATTAGAGTGATCAATTCTAATAAAGAAAATATCAAATACGAACAGGGTAGAGATAAAGATAATTATATAAACGAGCAATTATAAATCAATCCGCGTAACAAGGGTTCACATAGGGTTTGTGACCCTAACTACAATAAAATAAAACTAGCCAAGCATAATCATGGCTAAAAATAATCCAATATTCAAAAGCATAAAATTAAGAAGAAAAGAGAAGAAGAACTGTAGAAGAATCCTCCTGAGCTCTGTTGTCGGTCTCCTTCTGAAGAAATAGGTCTCAATCCTAATTCTGTCAAAAGGATACTATTTATATGACTCTTTTCCTTCTTCCAAAAATACCCTTTGCGCAGCACGGTACTTCTTTCCGCAAACCGGCGCCAGTTGGCGCCAGTGTGGCGCTGGTTAGCGCCATCTTCCTGCCCAATGTATTCTGCAATTCAGAACCAATTCCCGTGACCCGGCGCCAATTGGCGCCATTCTTCATCTTTTGGGCGTCACTTGGCGCCAATTTCCTTCTTTGTGGGCGCCTAGTGGTGCCAAGGTGCTAGTGGCGCCATGCACAAGGCCTCCGCTGCGAAGTTCGCAATCTGGCGCGGGTTTGCGCCAGTGTGGTGCCAACTTGCGCCAAATCTTTGGCATTTGTACTGTGATACATTTGTGCGTGTGGATTCGCGTCAACAGGCTTTTTTTAATTTGTAATTTTCACTCCTCTTTTTCCTGTAAAAACACAACCAAAAGGTGAATATTATTGACATAGAAAGAATCAATATAAATAGCAAATATGTATTTAAATTGCTCTCTTATGACTCAATTCTTGTCAATTTTAACATGGAAAAACCACACTTGCCAGATGCACATCAATGGGGAATCATAACCATACAACGATGAAAATATTACCGTTAGATCAGCATAACCGGTCTAACGGTGAAATTGATTGGTAGTAACACTACTTGGTTGTTACAATATCCTATCCCTCAATCCCTCAATGCATTTAAAATTTTCTTTAAAAAAAATTTCGGGGGCAGTACCTCCAAACCAACATAAATAAATGTGCGGACATAAACAATATTTTCTGGGTCCGCCACTGTATATATATATATATATATATATATATATATATATATAGGGCTTTATTACTCTTCTGTTACAGGTAACATATTGTCTCCTACAATTAACTAACGACGTCGTTCCACTTGATTTTAATTTCTCTTGCTTTCTTTTGTTTTTGTGCAAAACCAACGTATGACAGAAGCTAAAGGCAGATAGAGTTTGGTGGAGGGAAATGGAAGTCACTCTATGCGCTGAGACCCAAATGCTCAAACCCATCATCACTTGTTTCTTCCTCCAACTATCGCCCTAACCATGTTGTTATTCTCCTAGTTGGTAAATCTCTCCCCATGCTCGCTTACCTTTTTTCCAAGTTATTGATGCTCTGCCTCCATTCATTTTCATGTTTTATTCTCATGTCAGGGCTTGGGGAACAATTCCTGTGACTACCACAAGTTGGAGAAATAAGGTGTGTTGAAGAGGGGAATCAAAGGAATGTTTTTGAAGGAGGAAGAAATAGTAGAGAGGTGAAATGTCAGTGGGCTTTGCTCAAATTTCTTCTCTGGGTGTTGAGGGTATGTTCAAAGTTTCCAACTTGCATTGCATTGTTATGTTTGGTGCTGTATTTTCTTGTACTTGAATATCATATTGGGAAATGCTTTATTTTTTGTGGGTTCTCTCTCATTTTTTTGGAAAACTTGAAGAAGAAAAAAATAGCTGTTGTTGTGTGAAACTGAGGAATTTCTCTATTTGAACAGAAAAATATATAGAAGAATTTTTTTTTTTGGGTGGTTCACTGGTTTCTTTTGGTGAAAGCATCTTTTTTTTAGATGAAGTGTTTTGTCTCATTCTCTCTACACACATCTCTACTCACACTAAAACTCAATCATGCCATTCATCAAATTTAATGCTGCAATATATAAGATGAAACAAAAATAATCATAACTGATTATACGGAAATCCATATAAAGATAACAAAACTCGAAAAAACAAAAATATAACTTACCTTATCAGATTCACAACCAGATTGAATAACGGTTCCTTGCAGATGTAGCAATTTCACTAGCCTACATCAAAATCAGATCAAGGTCTGATCCATGCTATAAGAACCGAAAATTTTTGCAGATGAAAAGAGTAACATGTTTAACGAATAAAGGAAACTATAGGAGTTTTTTAAATTTTTATATTTAACACAAAAATTATAAAAATTATGATTTTTCATGCATCAAAATTCAATGTAACTCTTGAATTATATTATTTTGAAGATTTAAAATTCTTCTTCATGATGGATTACTATCAAATTGTAACTATTGAAGACATTGATGCAAGTGAAAGTTTAGTATGTGTAGATGATATTGTTGATTTGGAGAAAAACATGAATGAATTTAGAGAAGATGATCTGAGTGAAATCATGGCAATTCAAGATGGTGAATGCGGGGAAGATAATGCATATGAAATTGTGGGACATGTTGATACTGAATTAATGAAGACCCCTATTTTAACTAGAGTTTTTGAGACATCAAAAGAAGCGTATGCTTTTTATAATGCTTACGCAAAAGGTAAGGGGTTCGGAATACGTAAGCAATACCATAACAAGAATGCAATTACCAAACAAGTATATAGGTGGAATTATGTGTGCTCAAAGCAAGGTGTCAAGAGACTAGATGATAAAAGAGTTGATGTTGACAATGTCAAAAGGCGAAGGGATTCAAGGACTAATTGTTTGGCGATGTTACAAGTAAAGTTGGTGGATGGCCTATGGAAAGTGAAGAAATTCAATGATACACACAATCATCCATTGATTAACACTCCAATAAAGGTGAAGAAGTTTCTTTCTCAGAATGAATTTAGACGCTCGGATTTGACAAAATCTGTTGTTTCTAAGCTTTATCAAGAGGGTTTAACATCTTCAAAAATCTCAAAGGTTGTGAGTGCTATGGACAAAGAGGTGAACCTTACTCCTGTTCAAATAAACAATATTATATCTAGCCAACGGAGGAATAATGTGGGGCGAGAATGTCAGGGAATCATCAAACACTTTCAGAGGAAGTTCATGGTTGATGGAGCTTTTTATTTTGATATGCATTTGGCAGAAGATGGAACGCTAAGAAGCATATTCTGGGCAGATGGTAGGTCAAGAGCTGCATACGCTTATTTTGGTGAAGTCCTTGTATTTGACGTGACTTACAAAACAAACAAATTCAAGTTTCCTTTTGTCCCCTTTTGTGGGGGTTAATCACCATGGACAAACAACTTTATTTGTTGCCGCTTTGTTAGAAGATGAAACGGAGGCAACATTTACATGGTTGTTTGAACAATTTTGAATTTGTATGTTTGACAAGTCTCTTGTTGCTATTATCACTGATCAAGACAAAGCTATGGGAAAAGAAATTGCCAAGATATTTCCAGGAGCACGACATCATTTTTGCGCATGGCATATAAAGAAACATGTTATGGAGCATAGTCAAGCACTACGCGCACAATTTAAAGATAGTTTTGATGTTGACTTTCATGCGTGGTATAAAAGCCGAAACATTGATGAGTTTGAGTGCAAATGGGAAATATTGATGACTAAATATGTTATTAAATCAAATAGCTGGCTGGCTAACATGTATATTTCACGTCATCATTGGGCAAAGGCATACTTGAAAGATACATTTTTGGCCAGAATGACCACAAGTGGCCAAAGTGAGAGCATCAATGCATTTTTTTGATGGATATGTCAACTCTAACACAATGTTAAATGGCTTTGTTATCCAATATGACAAAGAAATCAAATCTAGGAGGGATGCAGAAGAAGATGAGGATTTCAAAACTAGAAATACAAAAGCAGTTTTGGAGACTAATCATCTTATTGAAGCAATAGCTGGAGAATGGTACACAAGAAAATTATTTGAAATCTTCAAAAAAGAGTGGAAGGCTGACATGCATAATTGTTTTCATGAAAAGATTGCAATGAAGGAAAACCTTATCACGTATCGGGTGGGATCTCCAGAAGTTGATAAGGAATGGTGGGAAATTGTAGAGTATCATTTGACGGAAAGCTTCACAGCTCATTGTTCGTGTGCAAAGTTTGAGACTATGGGGATTTTGTGTAAACATATTCTATACATTATGAAGAAGAAACAAATAATGACCCTTCCTGAAAAATATATCTTGTCTAGATGGACCATGAATGCAAGTTATAAGGCTGAAAATCTTGTATCCATTCATGATGAAACAAATACTAATGAAATTAGTGCATTATCTTTGTGGTCGATTCAGTTGAAGTGCACTATGGCTATTTCTGAAGCAAGAGATTCTATTTTTGAGATTATAAGGTTTGATGCTATGGTTGCTGAATTTCTACAACAACAGTTGGAAATAAAAAGAAAGAGAGGTGAAGATGAACTAAATGCCCAAACAATTCCACAAGCTTTACTCATTGATGATGTGCGTGATCCCACTCAACCAATCAAAACTAAGGGTCGTCCAAGGATTGCTTCACGAATAAAATCAAGCATGGAGTTGTCAACAAAACAACAAAAAACTTGTAGTTATTGTCAAGGGAAGGGTCATAATAAATCAGGTTGTCAGATGCAAAAGGTACTCATTTTTAATTTGCTATTTATGTTTGTGATTTCCTCTTTAAACTTGATGAAAAATTTGTGAAGTTTCATTTATAGATGGATGTTGCAAGAGAGAAGCAAAAAGAATAGTAGTGATTGCATATATTTTCATGGTTTTATTTTGGTAAGAACTTATTTTTGATGAACAATTTTCATGGTTATATTTTTACCTATAATATTTCAATGTATATTTGTACTTAATATTTTTACATTTATTTTTCAGGACATATTTTGGGGCCCTGTTGGTTTCTTTTGTATATGGACAATACCAGAATTTCACAAGCAGTTTTTGTAGGGCAATGTTGGTTGGAGAAGTAAATACCAAAAGCACTGTGGGTTTCAAATATATGTGAAGTTTTTTTATGTATATACAATCACTATGAGCAGGTGTAAAGAGATATGAACTTTTTGTGACTCCATTTAGATTTGGAGATCAAATGTACAGGGATGAGTTTTTTGTGACTTTGATCATATATGGTAATCATTTGTAAAGTCAATTGCTGATTTTGATTTGTACAAAAGAACTTGCATACTGCAATGTAATCTATCAAAGTTAGAAATGAATGGAGTTGCTCAAATTGCAATTGCTCAAACTGTAATTGCTATTTATCATGCCCATAATGAGTAACAGTGTAATACAATTACAAACATCATCATACATATCACGTAACAATTTGCTTCATGTATTTGTTTAGCCCAAAAAAGGCATTAAATAATTACATTGTTGTTCTAGCAGTATTAACATCAGTAACAAAAGCTGTGTCACTTCCTACACTAGCATCTGATGGTGTGACAGCATTTACACGTGCCTCAACTTCATCCACTTCCCACACGTTGACCAATTAAAGATGAATTATCTGCGCTAGGTATTGCTTCAATCACAGGAGTTGTAGAGGGCTGAGTATGAGAATTGGTTAATGCTACAGGACGTGATCCATTGACAATTGCCTTTTCAACTTGCTCACGGGCCAACTTGCAGTACAAAATTGCAGAAAAGTAATAAGAGTTATAGAATTAGAGGTAGAAAATAACAGAATGAATAATTAACACATCATCATTTTCAGTGGTGGAAACCTTCAGTTCCTCGGGAAGTAATCATTTTGAATCCATCATGATCATGTTGTAGTAATACCTACAGACATTCATTTAATAAAAGAAAAAAATCAGCAATGAAAATGAAGAAAAAAAAGACAAATTAAAGGAATGAAGACCCACTTTCATTGAAGAAATCTGTTTGTAGTTTTAATATTCTCCAAGCAGTTAGTAAAAAATGATATATTCAACCATTACAATGTGAAAAAAATATCATGATGTGTCAAGTGAATATTGAGGATCCTTGATTCGTCAAAAATTAAAATAATACAGCTACTGAAATCCATACTGATGGACAACCCTTCTAAGGAGCATACAAAATATCCCATTTAAGGAGTTTCCAAGGCCTTAAAGCAATAAATGTAAAGTGCCATTAATTGAACACACAACCAAAAGGATCACTAAATAAAAAAGCATCTTTAAACACAGACCCCCCCTCCCCCCAAAAAAAGAAAAAAGTTCTTACCGATCACCAATTTATTTTCCCTGTGTGAAATAGCCAAGGCCAAGTTCTTCAACAATATCATGTTGCTTGTCAGAACTCGGCTGTCCAGAATAATATATAAGCCTGTGGCTATCCATGGTGTTTCCCTTGTGGATAATTAAAAAAATGTTGGTTGAACCTCAGACAACTCTCCTCCAGAACTTTTCACTCTTTTAAATTGGTTCATTTCAATGATGATTATAGATGTTTGTCCATTGAAAAATCATTCCTAATCTTATGAGAGTCCTAACAAACTATATTCCAGACCGACAGTCCTAAAGGCCTGCCAAATACCAAATTCATACAATGACTTGCTCAAAATTCAGTGGTGGTATTAGGATCAAGTTGATAAGGGTTCCATTTTATCTGTATATTAAGACAAACAACAAATTAGGATATGAAATGTAAGACATGTTTGGGCTAAAGACACACACACACACACACACAGAGAGGGAGAGAGAGAGAAATGAGAGTATTAGACCTCAAAGTTGTATTTATCCTTAGAGGCAGCCATGGCTTTGTCTACATTTTTATTGCCAACAAAGCACCATGGGTATACACTATCAGAACTAATATCAATTCGTACAAGTTTCTTTTCAAAGTTGGCACTGGTAGTCTTAGTCATGATCCCAAATTTAGTAAATAAATAAATATCATGTAAGATTGCTATTACAAAGAAGGAAGAATAATCTAGTACCTTAACACCAGTCATATATCTTCTATTGTCCCTAGACAGGTCTATTTTTCTTTTTGAACAATTATCCCAAATTTCATGAAGGTATTTTTTTGCTCAAAAATTAAGGCTGAACTAACAATTTGAAAGGGTAAAAAATCTAGACAATAAAATCTGCATATGTCAACCTTTGCAAAACAAGTTATTAATCTGCATGAAGGTAAATATACAAAATCAACTACACCAACATCAATTATGAGTAACCCCAGTTTCTGAATGATCTAACACGTTGGAAAGTAATAGCAATTCTTGACCCAAACGAATCTCATGGTCAGATTCAGAAACAACACAACAACAACAAAACAAAATAAAAAAAATAAAAACAAATCAAAATCTCAAATGCAAAATAAAAATAAAAAAGCAATCTTTGAGCCAGAACAGTACACAATCAAAAGAAAAAACGAGCATAATTAATTAAGAACAATTATTAGTGAGAAAAGTGTAGTAAGAATACCCATAACGATAGGAGTGTCGGAAAGGTTAGAGAAAGAGGAGAAGCACCAGAGTTCATAAGCTTTGCTAGGTCTAACGTGAATTAGAATTGAAGTTGCTTGATCTTGATTCTTTGATGATAGATAGATAAGTTGAGAAGAGAAACAAGAAGATATTTTTTACTGTCAAATGAGAATAAAAAATGAAAATGAATGGAGGCAGAGATGAGAAATGAGAAATTAAAAGCAAGCGAGACCACGTCGTTTGTTTATTGCAGAAGACAATGCTTTACCTGTAACAGAAAAGTAATAAAGCCCGTGTATATATATATATATATATATATATGTGTGTGTGAAGCCGCAAAAATCAACATATTTCTATCATGTGGCACGTAACCTATACAAAAGCCTGCACACGCTTGCAATGTGTCGTTTATGTTAATGTGCGGCCTGCATTGAAGAATTTTATTTATGGTAGTTAAAATTTTGATTTAAATATATGATTTTATAATTTTACGTTTTGCCTGCATTGAAGAATTTTATTTATGGTAGTTAAAATTTTGATTTAAATATATGATTTTATAATTTTACGTTTTTTTAATCAATACGATTTTATTAAATTTCAAACATTTTTATATTTTTATGATTTTTTTATGTTAGAATATTACGTTTTATAATTTTTTATCCTCTTTCGGATTTTAACTAGGATTTTAACTATCATTTTACTCAATTTGCAAGTCGTTGTCCATGTAACAAAACTTTGGTGTATAATTGGGTACTTTTTTTTTTAAATGTTTCAATTTGGCGATAATTTTTTTTTAAAATGTTGAAATTTTTTTCAAATATAAAAAAAAAAAATGCCTAATTAAATACATCCGATGTAACAAAAATATTTCCGTTGTCCACACTTTAAAGATGCACATCTCCTATTTCTCTTTTAACAATGTGAGTTCTGGCTCAATTATATCCACACGTTAGACCTCCCCTAACCCACTACAATGAAAATAATAGGTGGAGTTGTCATTTCGAGTTCAATAAAAGGAAGTGCTACCGGAAACTGTTACCATGTATGCACATGCACACAGCTGAAATCAAAGCCATTTATTTTTTCACTGAATTAACAACATTCACTATTCACACTCTTGCCCGTGATGTCTGGTTCTGAACCAGTCTCTGTTCATGTGGCTTTTCTTCCAAGTGCTGGCATGGGCCATCTTAACCCATGTCTAAGAACAGCTGCATTGTTTCTTCGCCACGGTTGCAGAGTCACTCTCATTACTCCTAAACCTACCGTCTCTCTCGCTGAGTCAAATCTCATTTCTCGGTTCTGTTCTTCTTTCTCAGACCAAGTCACACAAATAGACTTGAATCTCATCCCTTTGGATCCAACAAGTGTTAATTCCACCGACCCTTTTTGGACTCAGTTTGAAACCATTCGTCGCTCTGTTCATCTTCTGTCTCCTATCTTATCCACACTTTCACCACCTCTCTCTGCTTTCATCTATGATGTGAGCTTGATTTCCCCTTTAGTTCCCGTTACTCAAAACCTCAATTTACCTTGCTACATCTACTTCGTTGCACCAGCTAGAATGTTCTCTTTCTTCGCACACCTTTCGGTTCTTGCTGCATCAAATCCAGGTGAAAATCCAGCTTCATTCATTGGTGATGTTGTTGAAATCCCAGGCATTGCACCAATTGCAAGATCTTCTGTTCCCCCTTTGCTTCTTCAACCTAACAGTCTATTCGAGAGGATATTCATGGAGGACAGCCCCAAACTCACGAAGCTAGATGGGATTTTAATGAACTCGTTTGAAGAACTTGAACCTGAGGCTCTAGCTGCACTTAATGATGGAAGAGTTGTTCAAGGGTTGCCACGTGTTCATGCTGTTGGTCCGTTCATGCCACTGGCGGACCCGGCCATGGGCAAATGTCCGCAAGTGTCCACATAAAATTTTGGATTTTTTTTTTTTTTTTTTTTTTAGCTTTGTAGGTATTTATTTGTATGTTGATTCAATATTTATATTAGGAGTAAATATCATTTTAAGTTTCTAATAAAAAACATGGTCCCCACTTTAGTCTCTTATCAAAAATTAGTCTCGAGGTCTCTACGAAATTCAAAGTGAATCAATTTAGTTAAAATCGTGGTTCCTCACTAATTCAAAAAAGACCTACATTAGTTACTCAAAAAGACTAAAATGAGTTCACTTTAAATTTCATAAGGACTAGGTAACTATTTTTTTTTATAATAGACTAAAGTGAGTACCGAATTTTTTGTTGGAGACCAAAAATGATATTTATTCTTATATTAGTTAGCAACGTACGGAGATGATTAAAATAACGTAGCAACGCTCTCTTCCTCCCCTACCATGTACCCATTCTCACGCTCTCTTCATCTCCTTTGTTTCCTTTCTAGACAAGGCCTTCAGTGTGATTTTGCTTGTCTTCTGTACAAATAGTGTTGACTTTTTTATTCACCACTATAAAATACAATAGAATGATGATGTATGGATGTACTTAAGTATATTTTCATATTTGTTTTGGAGGATTGGTAAGATTTAAGAGAAAAAATGATGGGTCAAAATATTGCATGCAGCTTGTTATGGAAGCAACTAGATTATGAGCGAGTTTAAGCGTTAACTTAAACTTTTTTTACAAAAAAAATTTGGGAGCACCCGCCACTAAATGTGCGGACATAAACAAATTTTTCTGGGTCCGCCACTGGTTCATGCCGTGTGAGTTTGAGAAGAATGTGGATGAAGAAAGTTCCATGAGTTCAATTTTGAAGTGGTTTGATGATCAAAATTCAGGGTCGGTTGTATATGTTTGCTTAGGGAACAGGACATTGACAAGGAGGGAGCAAATAAAAGATTTGGCTAATGGGTTAATATCATGTGGGTATAGGTTTTTGTGGGTGGTGAAGTTGAAGGTAGTTGATAGGGAAGATGACGAAGATTTGGAGGATGTGTTGGGGAATGAGTTGATGATGAAGGTGAAGGAAAAGGGTCTTGTTGTGAAGACATTTGTTGATCAAATGGAGATTTTGGGTCACCCTGGGGTTGGAGGGTTTGTGAATCATGGTGGGTGGAACTCTTTAATGGAAGCTGTGTGGCATGGAGTGCCTATTCTGTCATGGGCACAAAATGGGGATCAGAAGATAGCTTCAGAGGTGGTGAAGATGAGTGGGGTGGGGATTTGGCCAGAGGAGTGGGGTTGGGGAGTAGAGGTGGTGGTGAAAGGGGAGGACATTGCTAAGGCAATTGAAAAGATGATGAACAATGAATCTTTGAGGATTAGAGCTGCAGAAATGAAGAAAGCAGCTAGGAATGCTGCTGGCGTTGGTGGGAGTTCTGAGGTTATAATTAAGAGACAAATTGAGGAGTGGAAGAGGAATGTTCAATGAAGGCATTTGAGGATTGCTATATATGTCTCTAGTACTTATTATGGCTAATCAGTTTGTGGGTTCATATTTTCAATTTGGCAAAGAGGAACTTTCTATTTCTTGCCCGTTTGATGTTGATTGCCAGTTTGTTATCTATCCACGATGATTATCAAATAAATTTATTAAGCGCGGCGTATATTGAGTCTGGCCCAGACCCGACCTTTCAGAAAAAATAGAGTAGGCTTAGGTTTATAAAAAACTTTTTTTTTTTTTATAACATTAAGGGGCGAAGCCCCAAACAAAAACAAACAAACAACCAGAAACAAAAAATAACTATCCAGGGTCTATATCCCTACAAGAGGAGATTCCCTGAAGATCGTGATCAAATAACTGAGCAAGGTGAAACGGCATAATTCTATGACTCCAGAATCCAGTATCTTTGTGAAGAGCAGACTTGGCTAACCAATCTGCACAGGAATTAGCTTCTCTTGGAATATGAGAAAACGTTACCTCCCAATCCTGACCGATGAGTGCTTGTATCTTAGCCACTATACGAGGCTGACAAGCTGCATTGCAATCAGCAAGCAAAGAGAATACTTCAGAAGCATCTCCTTCTAGTTCCACCTTCTTAAATCCCAGTTGCCAAACCAATTTCAGACCTTTTAGAGTTCCCCAAAGCTCCACCATTAAAGGAGTGCAAGCACCAATATGATACTCAAAGCCTCCCAACCAAGAGCCATCATCAGATTTGATAATCCCACCACAAGTAGCCACCTCAGTATTCCTTTCAACTGCCCCATCAATATTAATCTTCACCCAATTTAGCCTTGGAGGTTTCCATAAACTCATACGAGTTGGATGAATGCTAGTAGTAGCCATAGCCTTCCTACCCATGCAATTACGAACTTCCTCTATATACATAGCAATTATGTGCGTTCCATGGGTTGGATGCTTGAAGTTAGTATCATGGACACTTTTGTTCCTCCATCCCCAAATGAACCAGCAAGAGATAAAAAAGACATCACGCCAATCATCTGAATTACTTTGATTCCAAGCTTTTGAGATATTATTTTCAACCCAATCTCTAAGATCCAAGCTGTAGAATAAGCTTTGCCGATTAGCTGAAACCAGAGAATTCCAAACACTTCTAGCATGCTTACAATCTCTTAGAACATGGAGATTTGTTTCCAACTCACCAGGACACATTTTACAATGACCAGATTCCCCTCTCCATCTAGATGTACGGTCTTTAGTAAGAAGGCGGCCTTGCATTATGATCCACATACAAGATTTAACACGTTGAGGCCCATGCCATTTCCATATGGTAGTCCAAGAATTTTTCAACGGCATGAGAAGGAAACCAAGCATGTTATAATACGCGGTTTTAACTAAAGAGCAGCCAACCTTTTGATTTCTCCAAATAATGCGGTCATTTCCATCCGATGCGCTAGGAATGAGAGCAGCTTGGATCCTTGCAACAGCTTGATCATTGAGATATTGACGAATATAAGGAAAGTTCCATTGACCAGTATTGTTGTTCACGAATGCACTAACAGGGAGATTCAACTCCAAACCTGTTGGAGTACGAGTAGCCAGAGAGGCAAGACACTCAGTTAAACCCAACCAATTGTCTGTCCAAAATAATGCATCATTACCGTCTCCAATCTCCCAATGCATTGCTTGAAGAAAAGATGGCCAAACACTACACAGATTTTTCCAGAAGTATGAGTCATATGCTTTATGATTTACTTCCCTCCGAAGATCCAAACCTCTCTTATATTTACTTGTTACAACTCGAACCCACAATGAATCGGGCGAAGTAAGAATCGTCCATGCAAGCTTATGAAAGAAAGCCATATTTTGGACACGAAGGTTAATCACCCCTAAGCCACCCATGCTCTTAGGCTTGCAAATATTATCCCATGCAACCAAATGAGATCTCCTTTGACCATTTTATCACCCCAAATAAAGGCACGCTGCAACTTCTCTATTTCATCACAAATGGCTACAGGAAGCAGACTGTGTTGCATTTGAAATATAGGAGTTGCTGAAATAACGGAGTTGGAAAGAGTAATTCGACCGGCAAAAGATAAGACCTGGTTACTCCAACCAGATAACTTGTGCCTAATTCTTGCAACAACATCAGCATAATGGTCTTTGGTTACTCGACCATGTTTCATCATGGACCCAAGATATCTCCCTATATTGTGAGTTTGCTTGAAGCCACACACATTTGTCAAGCCCAGCCTACAGTTTTGTAGGCAGGCCTATTTAATTTATTAAAATAAAATAATAAAATAATATTTATTTTATGTGGCAAAGACTAATGACATTCTCTTGTAGACTTTATTTCAGCATCCAGTAATTGTATTTTTCTTATTTTTTCCATTTCTTTGACTCTATTCGTCTATGATATACATTCTAGAGCTGGGGTATTATGTTGACTCTTTCTTGTTTGTCATTTTTTTCTTATGAGAAGTACTAGTGCATGCATGAATGGAACTTTTTTTGCTCTATACAATTATTTTTTTTGCTTAGTATCTACAGTGGAAGGCCTACAAGGCCTGTAGGCCATGTCAGACTTTTTTATTTTAAAAAATGGGCCGGGCTTGACCTACAAATAAAGCCTTTAATTGGCCAGTAGGCCAGATAGACTGAATTTTTTTTGACGTAAACTTGGGCCAATAAGATCAAAGCTCGGCCCAGCCCAGCCCATTTACACCCCTAGATGAAACGTACCATCTTGCACGAGAAAACAGTAAAGTAAGAGAGAGAGAAATCTCCATTGCATTTTAGACAAAAGTCGGGAGTCAATACAGTGAAAATAACCCAAAATTAACATTCAATAAAATAAGGGATTTATAATTTTATGCTACAGACACAAACCAATTATGTGTCCACTAATTAAAAAAAGAAAGGATGGGGATTTCGATGGATCAATAGAAAGGAAATCAATTCATAAAATAATCTGATAAACAAAGACGAACTATGGTTACAGTAAACTAACTCAGTAAATTAGTTAGAGTTCAAGATAACGCCAACTCTATCAAACCAATTTTGGATTGACTTTTAAAAAAAAAATTATGAATTATTTCTTTTTAAAGAAATTTTTTTAAAAGTTAAAGTTATTTTGTGTTTAGATGCAATATTTAAAAAGTATCTTTTTAGTAAAAATATCATTTGGATGTTAAAATAAAAAAACACTTTTAAAGAATAAAATTATTATTGTGCCCTTAAAAAAATCATTTTTTCCCAAAAAATCCCCCTTCCCCAGTCACCCTAACCCTAATTTTTTTTTCTATTCTTCAAAACAGTCAGCCGTCGGCCGTCCCCTGCCAGCGTCTTTATCCACTGTCGACGTCTTGCCTTCACCTCCCCAATCGCAGTGCCGCTAGCACCTGTCGCACGTCCACCCCTGTCTCTCCGCTCATCGCTATTGAAAACATTGCATAAATCAAAATCATTCACACAAACAGTAGCACACAATGCTTCAATTCAACCGACAAACAGAACATATCAGGGATCAAAATGCCCTATCACCTTCAACATGGCTTTTCAATTTTGTTACATTTTCTCTCTCTCACTCGACCTTCCACTTCCACACTCCACTAGGTCCACATGCCAAAGGAAACAATGGCATTGAATAGAAATTCAACTGCTTCTTCAGATTATTCCTTTCGTTTTTTCCAATCAATGTTTTTAGGTGGTTTTAAGGAAAGCAAATAAAAAATGCTCATCAAAGATTCCACTATTCTTTGTTTTATATACAGATAAAAGAAAGAGAAAAAAAACAATAGCAGCAAAGAAGAGAGAGGTGGTGAAAGAAATGAAAAAAAAATGAAAATGAATGAAAGAGAAGAGAGAGAATAATACCGAGAAAAGAATAGAGCAGTGGTGAAGGAATGGAAAGAGGGGAGAAGAGAAAAATTGAAGGCTGAAATGAGGAAGAAGAACGTTGCGACTCAGATGGATCTCAAAGAGAGTTGGATAAAATTGGAAAGTATAACTTTTGAATTGCTTTTGGCTTCTGCTTTTTTCAAAAGTTAAAATTTTTAACTTCTCAAAAAAGTTAAATTATGGCTTTTTGGCTGGCTTTTGCTTTTATTAAAAGTCACATCCAAACAAGTTCAAAATTTCCAAAAGCAGCTTCTGCAGGGAAAGAAGCCCATCTAAATGCAATCTTAATATATTTTCTAACTATAGTGTTATAATGATAATCATGACTGCTTGTCGGGTCGAGAGGGGCTCTAGGATATTCCAGGAGTAAATTTAACGCGAGGAGCAATTAATTAAATGAGGAGCAACTCTACCCAAGATGCGCAAGCGCACACGTCGAGCAATATAGGGTTTTCAAATAGCCCTAGATTATCGTTCTCGGGAACAAGTGTAAAAGTTGCGTTTAAAAAGGAAACAATTAAAATTAAACAAGATGAAGAGCAATAAAAGCAATCGTTCTCGGTTGGAATTCTCCAAAGAGCACTTTCTACTATCTAGTTAAACAGAGTCAACCAATCTAAGTAGCTGAATGCTGGGAGTGGTTCTTAACCTTCATTGAACAACAAGAATATTAAAATCTCATTAAACAGTAAAGTTCATCCAGTTAAGAGTAATGATGCAAAGGTCAATGTTACCGGAAAACACTTAGAGCAATTATGTGTTTCTTGGATTTTAGTTTTCAGAATATCAATAACTTTAAGAAAGGTAAACATAAGCTAAGAAAGTAGGTTTCTGGTTTGGTATTTTCACCCCTTTGGTTGAACCTGAAACGTTACACGTTTTTCAAACTAAACTATGCTCCTGTCTCCATTACGGTTCATCCAATATAACCTAGAGCAAAGACCTTTTGTTCCAGATCACTCTTGAAGTTTATTGAATTTAAACTCAAGGAGATCATGTTTGCCTTCTCAGAAGAGCTTGACTGAAGAGATCACTAGCAAAAGTGATTTACACATGACAGTGCTCCCCTTTTTGGATATTCCTCTGACTCAGAGCAAAATATCCTAAGACTTCTAATTTCGCTCCACACTACTTTGTGAGGGTTTGATCGACCAAGTGGACCTGGGATGACTTTGCAAACCAAAAGGCATTGTGAAATCAGAACATTAAAACAAGGAACATCTCATAATTCATTAAGGAAAAAATGGTTTCTTTACAAATTCATCTTAAGACAAAGAGGGTTACTTCTACCTCACCCTTAACCTACTTAAGAGAATTAGCTCATAAAGAGCATAACTGCAACTACAAAAGAAAAATGAGAATAAAATGTGTAGATACAAGGTATGTTTTGATGATAACAAAATGGCAACAACAAAAAGAGAAAAGCCTTGATCAAGAGCAAAAAGCATCAACCATATGTGGATATTGAATATGTATGATGTAACCACACAAGAAGAATAATGTCATACCAAAGTGGCAAGATCATTGGATCAAGAGCAATAAGAAATAATTAGAAGAGCAACACCAAGATCGAAGACAACTAACTATGGACAACATCTAAGAGAAGCTCAATATCATAACCATGGTGAAAAATGATCAAAACCAACAAAGTGTCAAGCAGTGTCATATCCAACAAGTCAAAGCATCAAGTTCAAGAAAAGATCCAAGATACAAGATATGAAGCTAAGTCTAAAATCATATTTAGAATATATCTTTATGACTTAGAATATATGTGAGGGTATATGATTGATTGCATTACATGAGCTCAAAGTTTTTCTCAAAGTAAACATGTTTTTCAAATTGCATAATCAAGATGTTTTTCAAACATGTTTTTCAAATCCATGGAAAAGATACTTGACATATTTTATAAATTCAAAACATATTTATCAAGTCAAGATCTTTCACAAAAAGTGGTTGGAAGCAAGCTAGAAAACATTTGAACTTAGAATTTATTGCTTAAATTCGCTGCTGCCTTCAATGCAATTTTTTGTATCCAAGATGATGGATTTAGATTTTGTGTTCTTCATAAAAGTTGTAGATCTCTTTTTTTATCTTTCCAAAGAGACCAAGATCACATCAATCAGACAAGTATAACTCAAATTATAGCCAAAATATGGAACAATATTTTTGTTGTCAAGTTGGAAATCAATTACCAATGCGACAGATCTCAACGGCTAGTTTTTCAAAAGTGATCCCAACGGCTATAAATAACTATAAAACTGCTAGTTTTTCAAATGAGATCCCAACGGCTATAAACGGCTAGTTTTCCAACGGCTAGTTTCGAACAGCTACTTTTCCAACGGCTATAAACAGCTAGTTTTCAATGGAAACACTATAAATACATTCCTTATGACCCTAAAACATGCATCACCATTCATACACATCTTAAGGATGACTTGAGAGCTTCTACACTATCACTTGCATATTCGTTCGTATCTTTCAAAGATAAAAAATATTTGAGCTCATATCTTGAAAATCCATATACCAATAGTGCTTCAAGTTGTATACCCACACTTTGAGAGTGTATATTCATTTCCAAATATTTTCTTCCTTGTATTCTTGAGTTGAAAGGGTTGTGAGACCCATTGTTTGAAAGGTCACCAAATTCCTAAGTAAATTTGAAATGAAAAATTGTAAGGCATCAAGAGCCCAAAGTCTTGAAAGGTATCAAAGAACCTAAAGTCTTGGAAGATTATAAGGTTACCAAGTACCCGTAAACTTGGAGATTGAAAGGTATCCAAGAACCCGAAGTCTTGGAAGATTGTAAAGGTTTGTCAAGCACCCGTGAAGCTTGACCATTAGTGAAAGAGTTGATCGAGCGGCTTCAGTCTGGACGTAGGTCACAAGTGGTGGTGACCGAACCAGGATATATTGTGTTTGCAATTCTCTAAACTCTAAACTCTTTATTTTTAGCACTTTAATTGCTTCTCTGATATCTTGTATGTGCTAGTATAAGTTCTATAATTGTGATATATTATATATTATGGATTGTCTGAATATATTGATTACCTTTCTACATATTAAAGTTTGCTTGAAATGATTATTTAGAAACTAGAAGAGGGCTTTTGCGAAAATCTTGTAATACTCAATTCACCCCCCTCTTGAGTATGGAAGCCACATTCCTAACAAAATGTTCTGAAAATTCTAAGACGTCCGGTTGAAGATGATCCTCCTGGTCCAGATCTCCTTTCCTTTTATTTGAGGCTTTTGCTTTCAATCTCAGCCGCCCCATGAATCTCCGGCCCAACTTTCCTCAAATCCTCTCCAATCACAGCGTTGCTCCTTGCCAAAGCATCCCTATTGCAGTTGTGGTCCCCTCATTCCTTTCATTCCTTTTGCACGAAATCTACACAGTGAGGACGCACTCCCACATTCTCTGCTGAAGCTGACGTGGAGGCGCTCAATTGGCTGTTTTTCCTGCGATGTACTGTAGCGCGCTTTCCTGTCTCCCTTTGGTGCTGCATTTTAACGTTTCTTCCAAGTTTCTCCTTCGTTTTAGTGGGCTCTCTTTGGCTGGGCTTCAAGATTCCTGCATAGACAATTCGATCCATTAAAATCATAAAGGAAAGAATCATATCGAATTGCTCCAGTACTGCCTTAATTCCCATATTAAGTATTGCTCCAACCCAAAATAACAAATGTCTGCTCGTTGTAGAGAAAATGGAAGAAAAGGATGAGTTACACATCAATAATTTGGATCTAAAGAGCTTCAAGACCATCAATGGACCTCAACTTTTGAGGACCATCAATGACCTTTTAATAAAAAGCCATTAGTTAGCTTATGAATGCATAGAATATAAAAGTGAAGTTGGGGTACCACTTATGTAAAATTAAAATATATAAATCAACAATGAAGTTGCAATTATACGAAGGGGGCGAAAATTTTAACAAATCCAAAGTATAAAATTTCAAATAAGAAATAGTTTAACAAATATACTGAATTGATGAATTTAACATAGGTTGTTTCATTGTCATGTGCCCATGTCAACAATGGAAAGCAGGAGAATAACAATCTAAAACCTAAAAACATGCATGCACCAGCAGTCTCAACAAATGCACCCATTAAATAATTTTAATGACAAATGTAATCACAGAACGAAAACATATCCATAAGGAGGGGGAAAAAAGCTCATAGAACCCAAATTAGGCAAGCACCTAAAACTAACATCATAAAGCTCCATAATACCCACATCACTATAGACCCATCTACTTCAATTATCAAGCACCATAAAGCTAAACAAATAAATCCCAGAAATTATAATAAACAGTAATTATTTTATACCCATTTTTTCTTTCACCTTCTGCTGGTTTTTGAGCATCCGAACAGCATAAAACTACCAAAAGATCAAAACTTTACAAAGAGAGAGCGAAAATACTCACAACAGGGAAACTTGTATCAAGCTTCTTCCTCATGGTAACAGATTTTGAGGTGTCAAATGAAGCAAAAGAAGGAGACCTAGAAAGTGAAATCGAACACTTTGAACAAAAACACTCCACCGATCGTCAACAAGATGAAATCAATGCAACCATTTCAGATCCAAAGGGAATACAATGCTAGCTTTGTTAAAGTAACTCAGCAGTCACGGAAAATGAAGTATACTATGTATTTTTTTGGGGGAATAGACATGTTTTTAAATATTATAGGGGGTCATGCCCACCCACGCCTCCCATGTAGGTTCGCCCCTGCTAATAGAGTAGAAGGTGAAAGGGAGTTTTTTTTACCTCACAAGTGTAATTTGCTTTCAATTTTATTTTTTGTTTTTATTTATTTTTTATTAATTTTTTTTGGTGGGGTGGTGGGGGGGGGTGGTGGTGGTTGTGTGTTACAAATTTTCTTTTAAATTTACCTAAGGATTAACTTTTATAAAATATTTATACACAACCATATAATATATAATTGTTTTCAGTAGGAATTCATGATTTCAAACCACGATTAATTGATAATTGAAAAGTTCATTTTTGTTAAAAGTCATGCTTCTAAACCACAATTAATTTATGTTTTTTTTAGGAAATATTTTTCTTATGTTGTTGGAGATAGTTATCTTATGTTAGTGAAACAAAATTATAAAAGGGATCCACAAATAATTGGAGAAAAAAAAAATAGAGATGAAATCCACCTTTGTTATGTGTGTGTAGGAATTTGATTTATCTAGGGTTGAATGAGATAAATATAACTTTTTTTTTTTTGTTTGTTTAATTCTAATGAAACTTAGTGATTCAAACCATATATCCACAAGTTTTCATCGGGTAAACGGGTATCCGGTGTACCCTTATAACCATTGATTGAAAATCAAATGTGCGGACGGTTAAAAAAGAGCAAGAACGATCTTGTTCAAAAAAAAAAAAAAAAAAGAGCTAGAACGATGAACGCAAACTAGAAATTTCAATAGTCTGAATGCATAAAATAACTTGTTTTGTTTATTTATCTTGTCCATGACAAAGGAACACAACTTGAGAAACCTTATATTAAAAGGACAACTAGTGCATTAATACACACTTATTTATTAATATTTAGGTATAAGTGGAGCTTTATGCCTGCTGGAACTTAACCGTAAATGGCACATAACTCAAAGCAAGACGTTTAATATTCTGATCCTGATAAATTCCAATATCACCGCATGGATGATTGCAATCTTTGCACACACTTGGACAGTAAACAAGTTTATAACCATCCTCATACTTCTCAATCTTGAACCAACTTCTAATAGTTTGTGAACCCGGGTTCCCCAAAACACCACCAGTGTCCACAAACCTTTGTCTGGTTGAAGAATTATAATCATCAAGCTTCCACACTGTGTTTGAACAATCTATGTCCGCAGAGGAATAGATATTAAGATCAGTGGATACACGAACAACTCCTTTCTTAGTGTTAACAGGTAGAAACGTCCAAGGTATGCCTTGGAAATCATCTGCAGTAACAACATCAGGACAATCATCACCGCTCTCTGTGAGGGTAATGCCTGGAACAATGTAGTAACTTGCACCAGCTCTTAGCTTCTTCCCTGATGTATCAACCACTTGTTCTGGTGCAGCACCAGTTGCACCAAGCAATGGCTTTGTGGTCAAGGCAATGAGAAGGACCAATGCAAGCAATGTTATCTTCATTGGTTTGTAATTTGTATGCTGTTTTAGTTTTTGTGTTTAAAGTGACTTGTGATAGCGTAAGAGCATGAAAATTTATAGGCATCCGGATCTAATCTATGTACTCATTTCTACCCAAAGTCATGGATTTCAACTCATACAATTTGCCAATAAAGACTCAATTGGTCAATAAGATTTATAATATAATTAAAGTTCACAATACTCGATCTGGGACTGGCATGTTTGGAAGTTTACGAGTGAGGTTTTTGTTTTTTGTTTTTTAGTCACTTAGTACCTAACGTTTTGTATCCTGTTTTCGAGTACGTCTGCTTGGTTTGTTTAGTATGTGTACTGTGAAGTGAAAACAAGCCCATAGATTAATGTTGTCATTTTGTTTATTTAAGCTTTCTATTGCGATATTAACCAACTTGTTCTTTTTCTTTTTTTTTTGTAATGTTTTTTGTTACTTTGTTCTTTTTTTTGTCATTAAATTAAGGTAGTGAGTGGCAAATCTAGTATCAGAGTGTTCTAGACCGGTCACATTGGCTTAGTCGAATGGTCTAGCCATTATAAGGCTCATTTAAAATGCAATTTCTCTATATTCCTAAAGAGAGATTTTAGGCTCTAATTATAGAGGATCTTACTCCCTTGCATTAGTCTCACATGGTGAGACTCACTAGGACAGAAACAATTATATATGATTCATTCTCATTTATCATTGGAGAATCTTTATCACCTATAAATATAGGAAAATAGTTTTCTCATTTTACATAAGAAAATTTTCTCATGCTATACTCACAATACATGAGTGGATTTCATCTTGGCTTTTTTGTCTTCTCATCTTTTTGTGGACCTCAGTCATGTATTGTGAGTGTAGCATGAGAAAATTTTCTCATATAAAATAAGAAAATTAATTCCCATAATTATATCTCTTCAGCCATTAAAGATGCACCTTATACACACACTAATTTCAAAACTGTTACTCTGCCAAAATACTCTCAATTAAAGCCATCATGACCTTAAACATATATCGATCGAACCCCTATTCTCAGCCTTCCTTTGAGACTACTCACGGTAATCCTAGTTGTAAAATCCAGCCTGACTCAGTCGGGTCGATTCAGAATCCGACGAACCGGTTCGGGTCAAGTATTGGACCGGCGATGCATCGACCCAGTCAAACCCGGTCAAAACTCGGACAAAACTGGCCAAACTCGGTGACCCAGTGACCCAATCATTTAAAAAAAATCGAAAAACCAAAATTGTTTTATCTTGTAAAAAAAAATGTAGAACTCATTTTAAGAACTTTTTATAATTTTATTTGCTAGTATACTTTTCTACAATGATCTCAAATTTCACCTTCTAATTCTGAAGCAATTTGTGGAATAATAAATTAAGGAATGTGACATATGTCATTTTTAATGTAGTTGAATTTGAAAAATATGAGTTCGACGTCATTAAGAAATATGTTTACGGGGATTCTGAATTGCAATTTAAATTGATATAGTAATAGCATGCATTCTTATTTAATTATGTTTCTTATTTTTGAGTTTATTTAATGAACCTTGTTTAATTCATTTTAGATATGGAGAACATAATTGAATTTATATGTTTATTTTTATATATATTTTTATATATCTATATATATCTGGATCAACCGATCCGACCAGTGACCCACTGGTTCGACCAGTGATCCAGTAATCCAGTATCCCGACCGGGTCGATGATGCCCAGGTCGGGTTTAATAACACTGCTCTTTACGGAACTTTGATCTATATCACTGCTTCTTTTAGCACTATTATATCAAGATATTTTACCCTTTTAAGAAAAACGTACTTAATATCACCACCTGATCCGGATATAATATAGGCCTAACCAGGACCCAATAAACACATGAAAGCCCAAGCCCATATAGGACCCAGAATAAAGGCATAAAGGGCAGGCACAGACGCGATAACCCTGTCGCGGTACACCAGCGCGATAACCCTATCGCGGCACATCAGCACGATGACCCTATCGCGTCCTACATGGCGTAATACCTCCTCACGTCATGCAGGATGTACTTGTTCCCCACACAACTGGATACCTTCTACAGACAGTAAACTTAAGGGCCAAGGCAACACCACCGCGCCCTCACACCAGTAAACTACGGACAGCTCCAACTCGCTATGACTCTACTACTAGACACCATGGCGGCAAGCTCCTCAACATTTAAACACTGACAGCCACACTATGTTGGGACCAAGGAACCTTTGCCTTCACCATGAAGAAAGGAATCCTACAAGCATACATCTCGACTACTATATAAACATACGTTGTACCACCAAGGTACGATCATCCTTTACGTTCACGATATGAACACCTGCCTCTGATACTGACTTAAGCATCGGAGTGTCTTCGCAGGTACCCCCTCCCATCTGGAGCAACATGAAGGACGAAGGACAAAGAGCTCAGGCTCATCCACCAACAGCAATACCAGGCCCAGGCCAATAACCTCCCAAGGAGTCTCAACTGTGTGTGATTTGGGCTTAATACGCATTGGGCCATCCCAACCGTATCTGGTTCGATCATTGGCGCCGTCTGTGGGATACCGGGGGTTGAAGAAACGCACTTGTTCGATCACGTTCACAAAGGTAGCTTCTGCTTCCTTCTCGAACAAACCCTGATACCTCTTTACCTCAGCGGTCAAGTGGGCCTTTTCATCAGCCCAGGTATCAGCGTTCCCTTCAAGCTCCAGTATGCGCTTCTCCAAATCAATTTTCTTCGCCCCCAAGCTTCGGTTGGCAGTCGTCAGCTTCTTCATGCCAGCATCCTTCTTCTCCATTTCTGCCGTCAGCATGGCAACCTTGTCCTCAGATGTCTTTAACTTGGCATCAGAAGCAGCGCCTTGTTGGGCATTCTCAGCCTTTAACTCCTCAATACGTTCCTTCAGGAAATCTACCGAATCTGTCATATACACAAAACACAAAAAGGTTATACATACAACCGCGATATTATAGTATGCAAGCAAGCAAGTAACATGGAAAACAAATATACTTACCAGGTGCGGTCATGATAAATTGGCCAGCCGCGACCAGACCCTGGGCAAGCTGCCGCCATTGATCCCGCGGCAGAGCTTCCAGGTGCAAGCCAAAATCCCTACCCTGAGCCCGCAGGTCACTCACGACTCTCCAGCCGAAATCCGGCCACCCTGCAGCTGACCCCTCGGACATCGCGTCAAAGGTTCTTTTCTTCCCTCTCGCAATGTCCTCTCCCATTACTACTGGAGGGGTAACCTCTTGAGGAGGGGAAGGAGGGGTACGCATTCTCAAGGGAGACTTCAACTGCACGGCGGCTTGACCACTTGACTCAGCAACAGCAGCCGCAGTCTTGATCGGTTGTGCGGAGGATGATGAACTAGCAAGAGCTGCGCGATTGGCAGCGATTTCCTCCATTTTGCTCACGGGCGTCATCCTTATATTTTCTGCACAATAGAAACAAAGAAATGGATGGTCAGGCATACTTAGTCAATACATATACATACAGGTTACGCTACATAAAGATTAAGACATATCAGAACACGAAGGATTCAAATTACCCAGATAAGCTCGAACATCAGTTTCAGTATACTCGTTCAAAATGGTATATGTATCCAGAGAGCCTTCACCGGCAGCTTCACGAGTGATCTTACCTAAAGCGGTCACTATCTGCTGTTCTAGATCACTCAGATCCGTAAAGTTATAGCTTAACACGGAACTATCTGACGGGTATTCCGACTAGTACAAAGGGAAGATAGGAGCCTGGTACTCGCCTAGGAAAAATGGCATAGTACCTTTGGCAGGATAGATCTTGAAATACTCAGCGTTCCATTTGTTAATCTTCCTGCAGTATGACCCGCAGAATTTTTGTTTACCCCTAAAAGATATCCAGCTATTGCGAGGGGGCATCACACTGAACATATACAAAAAGGACGGAACTGACTGGAAAAAGCCATAGGCCTTGCATACCATCTCATATACTCTAATAAAATCCCAAGCATTGGGGGTCAGCTGCGAGGGTGCCACATTCAAATGCGTTAACAGTTTACAAACAAAAAAAGAAAACGGAAGACAGACACCTATGGACAAGAAAAAATAAGAGTACATCATCATATAATGCCTGGTTGACCCCTCGGCTCGCGATGAGCAAACGCGCTCATTCTTCGGGACGACTCCAACCTCCCATTGATCGTCAAAAGCTTTATCTGGGGTTAGATGCAGGGCCGCGGTTACATCCGCCAACTCTCCAGGAGAACAATATATCGACTCAATCTTTAAAACTGAGCCGGACACCCACCCCAGGGTATCAACATCCCGGATGCTTTGCCTGTTCAGGGACCGCGTCTCTGAAGGTTCTTCCTCAGGACTAACTTGTACGGCTTTCTTCTTCCCACCAGACTGCGTTGAGACGATCTTCTTATAGCGGGCATTACGTTTTGCCATTATCTCCTTGATACGAGAGGACACAAAATCTGATTCAGAAGAAGAGGAATCAGTGGAAGAAGACAAATCAGTGGAAACAGGTTTATAATTATCAAATTTCCTTTTCTTAAAAAGATATCCAGCTGGATAAACCACATTCAACGGCAAAGGACTAGGACTCTTCGGTCTTGAAGACTCATGCGCGATGGAGCAAGAAGAATCGCGCGATGAACTCGAGAAAAACGATTTGGGGCTTTTTGACTCTGCCGATTTATAGCTATTATTTGAATTGGAAGAAGAATCACTCGATAGCACAATGAGCTTGGACATATTTCCAGGAAATCAGGGAAACACAGACGAACTATGGGCTGACAATGCCTTCTCGCAAGGAGGTTGTCGCGAGGTTGACCCTAACTCAAGGGTACGACTTAAGGGAACATGCCTAGCACAGGCTTTGGAACAGGGAGCTAGAATTCCTACAATAGGCCTTGTCTCCCTGGTTCCCAAAGACTTTGATTTTGGTAACAGTCCCGACGACGGACTAGACGAGCCAAACCGATCAAGAAATATGATAAAATTCGCACAGTTA